GGACCCATCCTAACAATATCATAAACAACCTCCTGCTTAGATCTCTGGGTATTAACTATTTTTCTACTATCAGTAACTCTAATGACAAGATTGAACTCATGGAAAATCTGAGCCAAATCCTTGGCAATGAGCTCTTGAGCTAATTTGTTCATGAGAATATACTGTGGGGAATCAGAATTTGCCACCCCAAAATGTCTCTTTGGCTTGATTATTTTTAAGACTAAAAGACTCAGAAAGAAACTTTGACCTTCCCCCTAACTGTCTAAAAGAATTTAAGATAGAAGGCCTGTTCCAGGAAGGAGCTATCACCATGGATAACTCTAGATGTGGTATGCAGGAAAGCACCTAGCAAGGCCCATTTTATCAGTTCTCTCTGGGGTCCCATTGCCTGTAGATGGCCCAGCAAATATTTGTTTACCAAACATTTGCTTTTCCATCTCCATGTGAATTGCCTTCTTCCCCTTTGAAGTCCCAAACCACCACCCCCAACACCTTCCTTTGTCTTTAGCTGAAGATAGCATTTTAGGTGCTGGTTTCGGCCATTTTGGTGAGTTATTCAGTTTTCCTGAGTTTCTCCCATATATACATGTTATTAAATTTGTTTGATTTTCTCCTGTTATTCTGTTTCATGTCAATTTAATTCTTAGACCAGCCAGAAGAACATAGATGGTAGAGGAATATTCTTCCTCCCCTACAACACACATTTAAATAAAGCAGTGTTTCCATGATGTGTTCCACAACATATTAGTTATTAAAAGTGGGGCTCAGTATTCAAAGTGAAGGAGATGCAGAGCTAGATAAGGTTAAGCAGGTTCCTTCACTACTCAACTTCTCAGAATCTTAAATGCCATCTTGAAAAAAAAATTTTCCAAATCTCAAGCTTATGTATATGAAAGCTCCTGCTATATGATCTTGGACTTTATTAAGAACTCTGCCCATAATTACTGATGTAAATCAGTGCAATGACCATCCCAAAAGGAGACTTTACAATTTCTCTCTTTAACCAATCAAATGATGGCCTTCACAATCCTGCCATATTTGGGCAAAACTTCCTCTCCTTATCTTAGATCTAGCCCTTCCCTTTTTTTTTTTTTGGTGAGGGAGATCAGCCCTGAGCTAACATCCGTGCTAATCCTCCTCTTTTTGCTGAGGAAGACCAGCTCTGAGCTAACATCTATTGCCAATCCTCCTCCTTTTTTTTGTTCTTCCCCAAAGCCCCAGTAGATAGTTGTATGTCATAGTTGCACATCCTTCTAGTTGCTGTGTGTGGGATGCGGCCTCAGCATGGCCGGAGAAGCGGTGCGTTGGTGCACGCCCCGACCGAACCGGGCCGCCAGTAGCGGAGCGAGCGCACTTAACCGCTAAGCCACGGGGCTGACCCCCTTCCCTTTTAACTTAGAAAGACTCACTGAAGTCATATTTGAGTGACACAGCTCTCCCTTACCTAACAAGAAATAAATTCAGCTTTATTTTTTCAGTTCTAATGATCTTACTATGCACTATAAACCCCAAGAAGAGGAAAGAGTGCATGCCTTTCCCAAGCCAAAAGTGGCTACAGACCACTTTTCTCAATGTGCCATAAACTAAAGATTGCCTGCTGTCTTCCTTAAGGTGTACCTCTAAAGTCATCTCTGTTTTTGTCAAGATCTTATAACTCCATGATATTGACAAATGCCCAACTAACTTAGAGATAAAATTTTTAAAATTCAATACAAAAAAGTCTGAAGTACAACACAGAAAGATTTGGAGATAATTATATATTTACCAAAGTACCTAGTGCCTGACCAAGTGGCTCACCACCACTTTGAATTACAAATTCTCCTTGCAAGTTTAAATGACTCCAATTATAAAAATGCCATTTACACATAGCTCTTCCAGAACCATCCACTTTCTATACTTGGTATTCAGCTAGGCTTGGACTGAACAACTAGGAGAGTAGAACTCCTACATGCACTTCCAGTTGAGCTCACTCCACTAATTACCCCTGCCATTTCTTTGATTTTTGCAAAATAATCTCTATCTTAAGTGCAGAAGCAAGCATTTTCCTAATAATTAGTTCTTTGCTCTTTATCAAATATTGTTAAAGAAATAATAACCCAATGCCCCCATATCCACTACTATGGCTTTAGTCCAAGTGCTTGACCTACAATAATAGCGTCCTAAATCACCTCTCCACATCGACCCTTTCATTCTCTTCATGGCCAGAGGAGCTTATAAAAATGTATATCTAATCATGTCACTTAATGAAAATCCTTCTACGGCTTCCCATTAACTTTAACAGATAATGCTTAATTTGGTCTACAAGACCCTTGGTCTATCATTTCTTATCCCTGTCCACAATACCAGGCCCACATCATACATTTCTCTATTGCTCTCTGGCCCCAGACACACTAGTCTTCTCTCGGTTTCTGCAATACCCCAAGCTTCTTCCCATCTCAGGGCCCTTGCATACACACTATTTCCCATTACTTCAAATATTCATTCTTATTCACCCCACTTCCCACACCCACCTCCAATCTCAGCCTGCCTAGTCATCCTTCAGCACTCATCTCAAAGGTTACTACTGAAGAAAGCTTTCCCTAACCCCCTCTCTACCAGCACCACCACCAGGATTAGGATGTCCAATTATAAGCTCTCATAGCACTCTGTACTTCTCCTTTATAGAAATTTCCACAATCATAATTAATTTATTGTTCAAGTTATTTAAAACTGATTCTTTCCTCCCAAGCTCCTTCATGTCATAAACAGATACCATATGAAAGTTAGCTCCATGAGGACAGATATTTCATCTTCCTTGTTCTCCACTGTAATCCATATACCCACCACAGTATCCTGCAACAGTAGTTGCTCAATAAATAAATCACTGATGAAGGACCAAATAACTAAACTGACAGAACACAAGTCACGTCACACATGGATTATATCCTCTGCAGTTCTATTATGTAAATATCTGATACTCCATGTTTTCAAAGTGGAAATTAATTACCATAGACAATATTAGATTAGAATTCCCAACTTACACCATTCACAAAATAAAATAAAATAAATTCAAAATCTAACCATAAAAAGGAGAACAAAAAAGTAGCAGAAGAAAATATAGGAGGAAGCCCTGATGACTCTGGTGTGCAGAAAATGTTCTTAAACAAGACATGAAATTCAAAGCCACTGAGAAAAAGTGTATCAAATTTGAAACTTTAAGACTATAAACATAGTTAGAATATAAGCTATAAAGGTGAAGAAAATACTTGCGACACATATGACAAATGATTAGTATCTAGAATACATAAAAAACATCTAACAATCAATAAGAAAAAGACAAAAAAAATCCAACAGAAAAATGGGAAAATTTATAGGAAACATACAAATTACCAATAAATGTACAAAAGGACATTCAGTTTCACTATTAATCACAGAAAGGCAAAGTACAACAATGAGACATCACTTTTTATCAATCAGACTGGCCAAAATTTACAAGTTTGGCAACACGAAGCAATGGCATGGGTATGGGGAAAAATATTCTCATACACTGCTGTTAAGAGTATAAATGGTGCATTGATTTGGGAAGATAATTTGGTATTATCTATTAAATGTGTACAACCCATAACCTGGCAATATCTTTTCTCAGTATCTGTCCCAGAGTAACATTTGCATGTATGCACAAAGAGAATGTTTATTATATCATTGTGTGTGACAGCAACAATTGTAAAAAACATATATTATCAATAGGCAAATGGCTATTCAGACTATGGAACATTATGCAGAAAGTAAAAGGAATATGAGAGATCTGTATGCACTACTATAAACAGGTCTCCAAGGCCCATTGCTAGGAGAAAATAGCAAATTGAGGAATTCAACACAAACACACACATACATGCATGTACACATAAAACAATACTATGTATTTTCCATGAATACATGTGTATTTTATGTAAAAGTATAGAAAAAGTTCTGGAAGATAAACACACCAGACTCAATAGAATAAACTTCTCGTGAGAGAGATGAAGCAGCCAGGATTAGTAAAAGGTCATTAGCTTTATCTATAATGTTTCAAATGTTTAGAAGAACATATTTATGTATTATTTATTAACTTGATATTTTAAAATATTAAATGAGATATATAGAGAAAACAGCTGGCACACAGTAGCCTTTCATGAACTATATATTCCTCTCCCTCCACCAAAAATGATGGCTACCTTGGGTTCAAACACAAACAGATCCCAGCAACGTGTCCCATGAAAATGAAATGTGTAAGCACAGTTGGGGAAAAGAAGGCCCTCATGTGGCACGTGGAGAGTGGTGACTTAAGGGGTAGAAGGGATAGAGAGAGTAAAAAGGGAAATAGCAGGTACAGGCAGAAATGTCATTGACCCAGACAAAAGTGAGTAAATGAGATCAGGGAAGAGAGTCTCAAAGTAAAGAAACACACAGAAATACTTAAAGGAAAATAAAGAATGATACCATTAACTATTCTCTTACTGAGTTTACTGTGTTCACAGGCAACGTATCATCTCATCTTCAGAGCAACGGTATTATTACCCCCATTTTAGACAGGCACTGAGGTTCAGAGAGGTGGAAAGATCTGTCCGAGGCCCTGCAACTGATGGCGAATGCACGAGCCTGTATTCAAACACTAAACTGCTCTCTTTTCTACCTTGCTTCGCGGACAACGCAAAGGAACAAAAATCAAGAAAAATACGCAGAGGTATAGGCACCAAAATCAAAACAAACAAAAGATCAAGAACAGAAAAACGAAAAGAAAACCCCTGCAGAAGGTATGTGTGTAAAAGGAAGGGCTGCTCGCTGCAGACAGAAGCGGGCGTGCGAACGGAAGCGGCCCGGGCCCCTGGCTTTTCACACTGAATCCTCCGGGGGGCACGGAGCCTCAACCCTCGCTGGGCACATAGAGAGGACCAAACCTCCCAAAGCCTAGAAAGGCTCCAGCCCGACAAGGAGGCGGGGCGAAGGGCAGCTTCCGGTTCCGGGCGCAAAGGCCCCACGTGTTCCGACCCGCCAGGCCCCGCGCGGCTCGGATCTGGCGGCGCTGCCTCGGCCGGGAGTGGGTGAGGGAGAAGCCGGGGCAGGGGAGGAGCTGCCGGAGCTGTCGGAGCCGTGAGTGCTGGGGGCCGGGCCGGGTCGGGTCGGGTCGGATCGGGCTGAGCCGGGCAGGGCAGGGCTGGGAAGAGGGGGAGGGGTCGAAGACCCCGCCTCCCCGGAGCCTGGGGAAATCGTACTGTCGTGGGGAGGAGGCGGCGGCAGTGTAGTGAGGGGGCCACGGCGTTGTGGTCCTCGTGTCTCCTGATGGCCTGAGCAGGACCTCCGGAGACGCGATGGCGCGCCAGGGTTCTTTCTTTCCAGCCACCGCCCTCCGCCCCCTCCTGAGGCCTGCAGAAACGCAGTTAGTCTGTACCTCCCAATGCTTCCGCGCCAACTGCCCCCCGGAACCGAGGCAGGAGTAGTCTAGGCCCCTTTATTTCCCGCAGCTTTCTCACCCCGCCTCTCAGATTGCTCAAGAATCCCCCCGCAGGCTCGCTGCCCAGGCGAGCCCCATCTCTCCACCACTAACCACCTCTCCAAGATTCACGCAGATACGCTCACCCGTGATCTTATCACCCGTGATCATACTAGGCCTTGGAGACCATCTGGCCTATGGCTCTTCAGCTGCCACTGTGACCGACCCCGAGCTTCCCCTCAAGCCAGTGGCTGCTGTCTCCACTTGCAACTTCCTCCCCCCCACCCCTCCCCAGTCTTGGCACTTCTTCTCAACACCAGCGTTACCCTCAGCAAGAATAAACGGGCCCCTGCTTCTTGTCTGGTTTGCCTAAAAGTTTGTTAGTTTGTATGCCATGGACATGCAATGTTATCTTGGAAAGGTGTCAGCCCAATTCTTATCTTTCTGGGCATTGGATATTCTGTCTCTGGGATTTGATAACCCTGTCTGCCTTGGTACCTGTACTGACCTCCTCAAAAGTAGGCTCTTAGGCCTACCTCTTTTTCAGCCACCTTGGTTCTGGGGAGCAGTACCACCTCCAGGCTCTCGCTTAGAGGCTAGGCTTAGAACTGTTGCTTTTTCTCTGTCCACGCTGCAGGTGACACCCAGGGCAGCCTCACTCTGAAGCCACAAGGAATGCTAGTGGAGTCCCTCATCCCTTCTCCCAGCTTCTCTTCCAAGCTGCCCCATGGGCCTTGATCCAGAAAGCCACTTCAGAAAGGTTGTGGGGTAGCCATGGGAGGCTTGTTGGTGGGAAGTGTGTGACAGTGAAGCATTTAGGGTTTGTGGCCATTTGTCTTAGGTAACTTTATGCTATTACTGTCTGACATAAGAGGGTGGGCAGGGTTGGAGGGAGGAAGGGAATTTTTCCTCCTAGGACCAAACACCTGGGATACATAATCTTGCCCCCTTTCTTCTCCAGCTGTACCTCTTTTGAACTCTTTCTGTGTACTATGTTACAGTAGACAGTTCAAGGGCACAGCAAGGTTTACTACAATGTGAGGGACTCTTGGGCATTACAAATTATACAGATGAGGTAAGTTACAGGTTTACAACATTTTTTTCCCCAGTTAATTTGGCACAGGCATAAAACGTATAACAGCCCTAGACTCTTCCTACTTTTGCAAACTCTCCTTTAAATTTGACCAACGCTGGAAAAGTTGGATCCTTTCTGCTTGAACCTCAGATTTACTTCCTTTGCCTTAGGTACTGCTTCTCAAATTTATCATGCATCTTAAGCACTTGAAGGGCTTATTAAACACAGATTACCGGGCCACCCCCAGAGTTTCTGATAATAGGTCTGGGCCGGGGCTTGAGAATTTGCATTTCTAACAAGTTCTCAGGTGCTGGTGCTGCTGGTCTGGGTTTCTCACGTTGAGACCACTGCCTTTGGCCAAACTTCTTCACGTAAACATTGCGGTGGTTTAGAGATCAAAAGACCTGTGTATGAGTACCTCTGTGCTGAAACCAGTACAGTGATCCGGTGTGGGTAATTTAACCACTTAGGTCTGAGTTCTTTCGTTTGTAAAATTAAGAAAGTGTATTTAAAACAAACTCCAAATGCTAAATTGGAGAGGAATATTGATGAGTTTTTCCCTTATTTTCTTAATTCTCTTGGTAGAACCTTCCATTTTGATCATATAGCTTATAACCATATTCTCAGTTTTGGCTATGAATCTCTAGTATGCTCAAGTCCCTGCTATTTCTTAACTACATGTTAAATTCTTTAAGGTCAGAGCCTGCACTTTTCTCATCTTTCTCTGCCCAGCACCTTGAATTGTGTGGGACACACAATTGATGTGCAGTAGATATTTGTGGAGTGAATGAACTCTATCCGCTGCTCTCTTACCCCCTTGAAGAAATTTTTCTCCGCTAATCCTGTGCCACATAGTAAGGCAGTATATGGCTGTGCCACCTGAATCCCCCCAGGAGATTGGAATAAATGCTAATGCCAAATTGCAATAATGTCCCTGTGAGTGGTTTATTACCCAGACATCCTGGCACCCACTGATTTTCTGAATTTCACTCCTGTATCCTCATTGGGGGAAGAGAAATAGACAGCTTAATTAAATTGAACACACATTTATTGAGTACCTTTTCTACCAAGTGTTTGACAAAGTGTTAGGCACTGGGAATACAAAAATGAATAATGAGGTTCTTACCCTCAAGGCAAGGCTCACAGTGGGAGATAAAGACACTAAACAGTGCCCACAGAATGGCATTCTGGGCTTAGTTCTACTTTGGACCATGAGTTAGTCTGAGACTCTTCAGATTCCTCTGATCCAGCAGGCATGGGTCCCATCCTTTATCTTATCATCATATTCGAGGAAGCCTTAGGCAAAGCCAGAAAGAAGTCACCTAGATACCCAGCAGGGAGTATCCTGACAGAGAGCGTTAATTACAAAACTAAAAACATAGTAATGCCTTTCGAATTGACTCCTCTGAATTATCCATATTTATACTTCAGGTCAGGCTGTATTTATAAGATATCTTATGCTGTTATTTTTCATTAAATAATAGTTCCTCTAACTGTACGATTGGCGTTGAACATGTTCATTGTAGTAATTAATTGGATACAGCTAGTTTTATTCTGGCTGCCAAATGAAACCTGCTGCCCTCATCAGGGTGGGTGCTAAGTTTGGTGACCACCCTTTTGCTACTTCAGGTTAGTATGTGATGTTCTGTTTTAAACTGAGGCACGTAGATTGACCTGCTTTATTTAGGACCTTAACCACCTCTGGGTAGTAAGTAACTCTTAAGGTTAAAAAGTCTAGCTTCATGTTGGAGATTAAAAGTCTAGCTTCATGTTGGAGATTAACCAATATGATCATCATGGCCAGGTGTTTAATTCTGGACTCTTAAATCTGTATTTGGCTTCTAGCCCTTCTTGACTCTTAAATAAATCCCTCTCACTATCCTAGGCTAACACATTATGGCCCAAATACACAATAAAGAAGCCATATATTCCTTGTTACTCTCAAAGCCCCTCCTTTATCACCATCAAAAAGCTGGGTAGTTTCTCAAAAGATGATCTAGCTCTTTGCCTTTAAGTAGAGAATCATCCCCATTTTCAAGATGATTGATGTGACTTGTCCAAGATAACAACACATCTTTAGGTGGTAGAACAGAGGTCATCTACCTCCAAAGGCGGAGCTATCAACTATTCAACACTGCCTCCTTGGCCTGTGGTACATACTATAGAAAACATTTTAATTAAAAATAAATTGAATTATGATTTTTATAGCTTTATTTTACATTTTTCATGTTTACATTTACTCTCAATGACATTTTTATACCCACTTTATACCTTGATCCTAACCACAAAGTACAAAATTTCAGAGCAGAAAATATTTATGTCTTAGTCTCCACTGACTTCCCTGTGCTACACTACTTGTTTGGCCTCTCTTTTTATTTCTTCCTGTCTTCCCCTTCTCTACACTTTATTCTGTTTCTTTGAAACCTATCGTAATAAGCTTTGAGCCGCTTCTCCCCTTTCTACTCAAATATTTTATGTTGAATCTAACGAAGGAAGAAAAAATTTAAATGGCAAAAATATTTTAAAGAAATAATTCTTAAAGATGGTTTGAAGCATACTGATCATGAAGTATTAGAAGGCCAAAAGGCAGTGAATGCGTGCCCTTGCATTACTTTTGCCTTCTGGGTTAAGTTTTCAAGGGCCTTCTTGGGTATACTGAGTGGGCTGCCTCAAATTCCCTCCTCCCAGTTAGAGGGGGACGGTGCTGTGGCATTGCTAAGCAGAAGCATTGCTAATATGGTCTTCAGCAGAAACCTATCTTTAATGTTCCATCTCATCTGTGATCCAAGGATCTTATTTAATCTTAGCCTATAAGTTCCTTCAAAGCAAGGACTCTTCTTCTGGTTTAACACTTTACTTTTGATATAACAGTAAACAGACCAAGATTTTTTCTGTGCATTTTAATTTTGTGGGGGGGGGCGGATTGTGATGAAATAAAGGACTATTTGCTTATCATTGAAATCTTGCATTCTTCTCAAAAGGATTTAAAGCAATTTGAAGGAAAGAGAACAAAATATATTGAGTATCTGGCCTATACCAGGCTCTATGTTGAGTGTAATAAGTGAGGAGAGGGATCGAAACCCAAGGCTCCAAAGCCCCTACGCATTATGTGGAAAGCATGGATGAATATTTGTACATAGAACAATTAATGATAAAACAGAATCTTTCCAGTAGAAGGATCATACTGGATAATCTTTAAAGAACAATACAGCATTGGAAAAGGACAATTAACAATTTTTATTAATTGATTTCTATTCTAGAGCAATGAGAGGAGCTGTTGCAAGGTCTGGTTAACCCCACGAGCAGTCATTCAAATGTCCAGGTTAGGAGCCTGCATTAGGGTAAAAGATAAGAATGGGGACTGGGAGGGATATAGATATCTGCTAAATATAATCATTTGAACCTCTCTGATTACTGTTTTCTTCTGAAGATTAATTGTTTGCCAATAAGTAGATCACCATCTCTCCTTTAGGTAGATTAAATTAAGACTATAAACCTTGTCATTTAGAGTTCAGAAAGATCGCCCCAAGTGGTAACATCTTAAGGTGGAGAACCAGATATCCTTTCATTGCCTGCAGTTTTCTGTTCTTGTCGGTAGAATTGAGTTAGGGTCCTGGGGCCTCTCCAGGCCTAGACTTGGGAAGTGTCTCTGCAGACATTGCTTTAGAGCTTTCTGGAACCAAGTGTTTCACTCTTCCTGGCCTGGCTTCAGCCTCTCTACACTTTCCTTTGGTTTTTATCTGTCACTGTGGAACCCTTCCAAGGACAGACCTTGAAGGAAGGTATTAGAATAGCAAGGGCAACAAATTGCAAGGCAGACTTGCAGTGTGGCTCAGCCCATGAATTGCAGGATAAAACACAACGTCCATTTTCTGTCTCTAATGTTACTAAAGTGACATTTGCACAGCACGTTTTAGTTCATAAGCTCTCACAGATCTCACCTAATTCTGTGAGTTAGGAAAGTGGTTATCTGCGGATGGCTTTGCCCTCTACCAGGGCTTTTGTGTACATCATTACCTCATGAAACCCTCAGCAGCTCCAGTTACCTGGGGATCTGGGGCTGGAACGCACATCTTTGGATACCTAATCGGGTGCTTTTCCGCAGCACCACCGGCCTCCTGTTCCTTCCCATCTTGCCCCACCAAGAACTCCTCTTCCTCCCTTCATTCCGCTGTTGCTGATCTGTTTGCCTTCATCTCATCTTCCTAGGCTGCCAAAGTAAATACACAGCAAGCAATGGAAATCTCAATTCATGATTTCTGAAGGGCCATGAAAAATGGCAGCTTTTGTGTGGTGCTGTTACCTTTTTTCTTTGGAGAGCAAAGCCATGTGAGAGCAGGAACCGCCTGTCAGTGCATACTTCATAGAATCCATAGTAGGGATCTCTTGTATGTAGTGCTCCATGAAAACGATGAGAGTTCTTAGTCTGCTTCACTGGGCGTCGGTTCTCGGACTTTTACGATAATAGAAATCCCTTCATTAAGCCAAAAGACCCTATGTATCAATTCCATCTTCTCTCCCTGCCTTGCAGGGGTAGGGGGGTGGGGGATTGGGAAGCTTGGTCTGGATGAACAATCATTGTAGTTGCATTAAATTACTTGATGTCTGGTTTTGTGCTTATTAAAGTTGAATCAGATCCTCAAAGGAAAATGATTTTTTTTTTTTTTTGAAACTCAAACAGTTTTGTGTGACTTAATGGTGAGTTATCCCAGGGCAACCTGAAGATGCCTTGTGGTGAGTTGTTGTTTCATCACTTTAGGAACCACTAAGCATATTCTGTTTTACTCACAAGGCAAATAATAAATGTTTTTTCCTTATTTATTCATTTGTACAGCACACAGTTTGCTGGACAAGTGAGTGAATAAGAATAAGATAGGGTATTTATCCTTCTGAAAAAAGACTAAAAAGCTTCATAAGTGTTCCGTGCATGAGCACCTGTTGCTTGACAGGCGTCATGCTGAGTGCTTGCTGCATGTCCCTGCCCTCAGAGCATTACAGTCTGGTGAGTTAAACGGCAAGATGAACAGTTTTTACCACACAAAACATAGATATGTCTGTGTGTGTGTTATGTTATTGGGGGGTGCAAGTTCCTATGGAGACAATCTGGGAGGATCAGGGAAGCCATCCTGGAAAAACTGAGATCTGAAGGATGAGTAGAGTTAACCAAGTGGGGGGTAGAAAAGGGCATTTCAGACAGAGTGAACAGTGTTGGGAAAGCCCAACAAGGGCGTAGAAAAGAGAGACAGAGAACAGTCCGTTGGAGCAGTGACTTTCAATGGGAGGAAAGGAGGTAGGCAGGGGCCAGGTCTTGAAGGGCCTTGAGAATCAAATTGTGAGGAGTTTAAATTTTATCCTATGGACAATGTGAAAACATTGGCTGATTTTGTATGTTAGAAAGTTCACCACTCAGACCTTCCAGCAATATTGTGGATGGGGCTCTTGCCAGTTATTAAATGGCCCCCCCTCAAAAAACTAAAGGTAATGTATAGATTCCAGAAATAAAAGCTAGAGGAGTAAGTACAAGCTGACTCCACCACAGCCCAAGGAGATATCAAACCAAAATAAAGGCTTCTAGAGTTTGGGGTTCTAATACCTATGCTCCAACAAGGAGATATGAATTAGGGAACTGGTAGGGATAGAGGAAGGATTTGGAATTGAACCCTCTGCTAGCCTGGAGCCTTGAAGACCTACCCCCTCCATGAAAATCTGTCTACCGATCAAGCAAAGGGGCAAGGAAGTAGCCTTGGGTAAGACAAAAATCACTCACAGGCATAGGCCCAAATAATACACTCATCAGCATAGTTCGGGAATACTCTGAGAAATGAACATAAAAACTGATCCAAGATCATCGAGACCATTAGTACTTAAGTGGAAGCAAATGAAATTCTTTTCAAAGGGCTCAAGGGCTCTCAGGACTCCCAAAGCAAAAAGAATCACATTGAAGATGGGCATAAAATTCAAATAATTACAAACCACCCGAGAAAACAAACTACCATGAGTTAGACATAGCAGATTTAATAAGTAGGAAAATTAGTGCATGCAAATCTAGAGATTATGGAACTATCTAAAACAGACTATGAAATTATGTAGTAAATGTTTGAGGATAATGGAAAAATGAAATAAGCATGAACAAAAAGGGATTTGAGGTATAGGTAATAAAAGTGAATAATACGGTCATTGAAATTAAACTCATATGATGGGCAACAGCACATTAGACACAGCTGTTAGGAGTGGATTAATAACCTTGAAGCTTATCTGAAGAATAGTAGTGAAGCACAAAAAGATTGAAAAATGAAGAATCCCTCAGGTTGCATGTGGAGAGTGGTCTGGAGGGGGCAGGACCAGGAAGACCAGTGGTGAAACTTGAACTGTGTCATTCATTCAGCACGTAAGTGCCTGTTATGTGGCAGCGCTGTATAAGGGCTGAGGACTCTGTCATTTTTTTAAAAGGTCCTGTTAGTACCTTTTAGTGGATCACAATGGATCGACCAGGGGAGTGGCAGTGGAGATGAGATAGATGAATTTGAAAAATATTTAGAAGGTAGAATTAATTAGATTTGGTGAATAAAAAAGAGCAGAAACATAATGGAGAAAAAGATTGATTCTTCCTGTTATAGTCAGAAGCAAACTTCAAAGTGGAGGCTTATTAATTTAAATGCATTTTTTGTGCATTTTATTGTAGGTATTGGAGATTGATGCAAAGCACAGTCCATAACTTCAGGGAGTTTCAGAGGGAAGATAAACAATGGCTATATGACGTGACACATACTATGATAGAGATATGCCCAGGTTGCTATGGAAGCAGTGATGTCTAACCATGTCTAAGAGTAGGCAGAATGGGATCAAAGAAAACATCTCAGAAGACACAAAGCCTGAGCTATGTCTTGAAAGATAAGTTTAACCTACTGAAGGCTAAAGAGTCAGAAGGAACGGCATGTTCAAAAGCCAGAGAGTATGGGGCTTTCGTGTGGTTCACATGCATACACCGTGTGTGTGTTTGAAAGGATTGGAGAGAAGGGCAAAGGGAATAACAAGGTGAAGGTCAACCTAATATATAATGCTTAGAAGTTTGTATTTCACTTACAAACAAGGAGGAGTGATTGAGGATCTTAAGCAGGAAGGGGACATGACTAGATTTACCAAGAGCGCTTGCTCTTGTGATACTGTGAATGGTAACTTGAAGGTAACAAATCAGGAGGCAGTTGGAACGATCCAGATGAGAACTGATAAGGACTAAACTGTAAATCATGGGAATGAAGAGGGGACCTGTTAAGAAAAAATAAGAACACACCATGCAGCGTTGGGGGTAGGGGTGTGAGTATTCCATGCGGAAGAAACAGCCTTCATACAGGTGTGAAAAGATACCCTATTGTAGAAAGATCAGCAATGCGTTCATTAGAGCCAGGTGATACAGAGAAAAGGGTAGGATATGAGTCTTGAGGATATCTTTCTAACAGTAAGTAGTTATTATTTTTAAATGTTGAGTGATGCAGTTGGAAGTGTACTTTAGGAAGATAATAGTTAACATTGGGGTGCCCTCACTCTTCTATGTACTTCACAGTGATACATTTAATCCTCATCGTAACCTTGTTAGATGGAGGCGGTTATCACCTCCATTCTGTAAATGGGGCAGCAGGCGTAAGGAGAATAAGAACTGCCCATGGCCCCAAACCGAGTAAACAATAGAGCAAGGATTCAAACCCTAGCGGTCTGACTCCAGGACTCTCTTAATCTTGCACACCCTACGTACTTCTCAATGAGGATGCACGACAGAACCACATATAGCATTTCTAAAGATACAGTTGCCTAGACTGACAATCAGAATATGCAGGAGAATGATGTGTGATACTGTGTTTTGCAAAAGCCCCACAGGTAGTTCTCTTGCCCTGTGCTTCTAGTTGAGTGCTGCAGGGATCCCAGTTAGGAACTTAGGGCAGTCCAGGCAAGAGATGAGGATCAGACTAAAGCAGTCTGTTGGAAAGACAAGGAGGAAACGAGCTTAGAGGCCTGAAAGGAAGAATTGGGTAATGAGCTGTAAACAATGGGGAAGAATCAGTTGAATCCAAGGATTACAAAGTGGAGTGTTTATTTAACAAGTGATGATCTCAGCCAGGACAGCATTCCAGGAAAAGGAGTGGGTTTGGGAGTAAGAATAATGAACTTAGTTTTGAACTTAGAATCTGAGGGTCTGTAAGTCTTCTAGTTAAAGATGTCTTAACAAGGGGAAGCTTGCTTTTTGGGGTGCCTTAGTAGTTAGTACAACATTTTCTAGCAGGTGATTATGAGTGTCTTTTCTCCTAGCCATTTTTCTTTTAGGTCCACAGGTCTCATGAAGTAGAAATGCAGTATTTTTCTGTGGAGTGTGAACCTTGTCTAGGAAAAGAGGTGGGGAACCATACCTTCAGGCATTCATCTTCCTATTCCAACTAGATCTATTTACAACATACGGTTATGGAGATTAGGGGAAAGAGAATTTAATAGCTTGGGGAAGTATTATGTGCAGAATTGTGATTAAACTCAGAACTGTTATCCCTGTGTATAATTTCATGCTTATACTGTTGTTTGTCTCTGCTTCTTTACCCCAGGTCCCTTGGGAGAAACTCCTCGAGGTGCCCAGGCTGAGACAGGGGGGTAATGACAGTGTGAGCTCTAGATGGTGTGAGACCACCCCAGGGTCAGAAAATGGCTACAGCCTTGGAACCAGAGGACCAGGATCTTTGGGAAGAAGAGGGAATTCTTATGGTGAAATTGGAAGATGATTTCACCTGTAGGCCAGAGTCTGTCTTACAGAGGGATGACCCTGTGCTTGAGACCTCGCACCAGAACTTCCGACGCTTTCGCTACCAAGAAGCAGCAAGCCCTCGAGAAGCTCTCATTCGACTCCGAGAACTTTGTCATCAGTGGCTGAGGCCAGAGAGGCGGACAAAGGAGCAGATCCTAGAGCTGCTTGTGCTGGAACAATTCCTTACCGTCCTGCCTGGAGAACTGCAGAGCTGGGTGCGAGGCCAACGACCAGAGAGTGGCGAGGAGGCAGTGACGCTGGTGGAGGGTTTGCAGAAACAACCCAGGAGACCAAGGCGGTGGGTGAGGAGGGGGAGTCCTGATCTGTGTGATGTGGAGGGGGACTATTTGCTGGAAGGAATGGATTTGGGGGTAGGGCTTACAGGGCCCCCATAAATTACCTTTTAAATTTAACTGGCTCTGCCCTTAGATTGCACCTAGATCCATTAAGCCCCATGGGGCAGAGGTGTGTATATGTGTGTTCGTGTGTGTGTGAGTGTGACTTCCTGGTTTTTGAAACACCTGCCTAGGGACTATCTTAGGGGCCTCAGCACCCAAGGGTCATATGGCTTTGGCTTTCCCTTTGGATGTTGAACCTCTACTTCCTGGGGAGGAGAAATTTGTGACTCCCTCCAAGGTTCTTATAGAGCCTCAGTCACGGATCCCCCTCCTGGGACAATAAGACAGGAAAGCAAACAACAAGGAGAGCTGCATGTGGGCTAAGTGGAGATGGGAAGGACAGGTACCTCGGAGCCCTGGGTGACGGGCAGGGTTGCGGGAAGTGAGAAAGCAGTGCAGTATCTGAATGTACCCTGCCTTGTCATGGAGAGGATAACCTTCGGCTCCTCCTTGCATGCCGCAGAGGAACTGGACTTTCCCCTCCTCATCTGGGTCCCTCTGGGAGTTTTTCTGTTGGCAGCTTCTAAAGTAAGCCCTGATGACAACCAAGACTTTCCTCCTGACTCCATGGTGACTGGAAGTTGGAATTATTCCCAGGTGACTGTCCATGTTCACGGCCAGGAAGTCTTGTCAGAGGAGACAGTGCATCCAGGAGTAGAGCCTGAGTCACCTAGGGAGCTGCAGGATCCTGTGCAGACCTCGACCCCTGACGAGTCCCATGAGGAGACTACACAGAGCCCAGATCTGGGGGCACCGGAAGAGCAGAGCCCATGCCATGAATTGGAGTTCCAGCCCCTGCAGGAGAGCGGTGGGAAACCTCAGCAGAAAGTGGGGAGGGTGGCAGAGTGTGGGGAGGGGGATATTTCTCCTGCACCAGGGAGGCTGCGTAGATCGTAATGGGAATAAATCACAGAACCAGGGTGTTGAGAGGAGACAGTACCAGCTAGAGTCCCCCGTAAACAGGGCCAAGCTTAGATAGCAGTATTCTTAGTTATTCTCTCGCCATTCCAATAGTGTTATAGGTGGTGGCATTGGGATGACTCGAGCTGCTCTTAGGCCAATTTCTTGCTTCCTACCTTCCCACCAAAGATGATGGGGGATGCTCAGCTCTTTGCCAGTTATGGGGGGCACTGCATATCACTGATCTCTGCCTTCTTTTCTTCTTAGACGTTCCAGTGCCCCAGGACCCAGACCTTCCTGAAGAGAGGGACACTGGAAACCCAGAGATGGTTGCCCTTCTTACTGCTCTGTCACAGGTGCGCCCTAGTTTCCCTCTGTACCACAGAGAATCTGAAGAACCAGTGGGCATTAGCCATATATGAAATGGGTCAGACAGGACACAAATTTCCACTCTCCTTTGGCCAGTTTAAGTTCTCAGTTCTGCATGTGTCTGGAAGGGGAGGAGTTGCGTCTAATGAGATCAGTTATAACAGTCTCAGTTGGATCTGCAGGCTCCAAAGCCTCTTTATTTGCCATTGACCAAAGGGACTAACAAAATGGGATTATTTTGTAACATTCCAGTACAACTCTGAGGTTGTTGAATGAGGGTTTGTTTTTGTTTTTTAGGAATAAACTTGATAGTCATTTGTAAGAATGACTGTGCTGCAGAAACAGTTTCTGAAATTGTGTAGTGTACTCTTCCAGGGTCAGGCCATGACATTTATGAAACATTCACCGTGGTCAGAGCCCCAAAACTGAGCTGTTTGGCTGGAGAGTTCATCCATGTTTTTTAGATTGTAGTCTAGCTAAAGAAAAAAATCCTGTTTCTGCGCTGTAGACTGTGTAAGTGATAAGGGAGATTTGATAAGGTCAGTTAGGGAAAGCTTCCTAGAAGAGACAAATTTTTACAGAAATGTAGGTAACATTAAGGCATCAAGTAGGGAGTTGAATGATAACTTGGAAGACTTGTCTTGTATTTTAAACAATGTCTTCAAGAAGAAGAAGAGCATAGGCTGGTCCTGAGGGAAAGCAGTGGGACAGGAGGGCACAGGAGTAGGCCACTGCAGAAGTAGAAGGTCAGGGAGCAGCAACAGGGCGAAACACAGGTTTCCTGAAAGGGAGCCAAGTGTCCCATTTGAGTTCCTTTTGTCTCCTGGGTGGATTCTGCCTATACCAGTGACTTTCATTCCAGGAACAAAATATGAGGCTCCATGAGGCATCACATCTTCATTATATCCTTGTGTTGTTCCAGGGGTTGGTAACTTTCAAGGATGTGGCTGTATGCTTCTCTCAGGACCAGTGGAGTGATCTGGATCCAACACAGAAAGAGTTCTATGGAGAATATGTCTTAGAAGAAGACTGTGGAATTGTGGTCTCCTTGTGTAAGGAATTTCAAGTGTTTGCAGAGTGTTCTGAGCACAGAGATCTTTTTCGTATTGGAAATTATGGGGGTCTTAGACCTCAGACTGTATGCAGTACACTTTTCTTATGCTTACCCCACCAATGAGATTGAAGGATTAGCTAAGGAAGATGATATCCTTCCAAGTTAAAGAGAAGAGAAAATGCTCAGAAAGTGGTTGGAAACTTCTAATAAGAAAATAAAGTTGTAATATTATAGCTTTAGTATGTTTGAGGTAAGCATATGAGTTTTGAAACAAGCAATAAAAGTTGGAAATAATCTACTTATTTGAATATGGGAAAAGAGGGTAGCATTTACAGTTGTACAATTATTGAGTTGTAGGCGAAAGGTAAGAGATATACAGTACTTGGTTAGAGGTGCCCAAGCTAAAGAGACAAGATTTGATCAACTGACCTGGCTATATATTTGTTCTACAATCTACCAAACAGAAAAGATCTGCTCTTAACACAGGAAATTACTGAACCAATCGTAATGTCCTGTTTTCCTTCTCTTGAGCAGCATTTCCAATCCCCAGACTAGATGAGATCTCCCACGTTAGAGAGGAAGAGCCTTTGGTCTCAGATATCCCAGAGCCTCAAGAGCCTCAAGAACCAGAAATCCTGAGTTTCACCTACACAGGTGAGGAATGACAGAAGGAATCTTCCCCCCCTGAGCTGCCAGTTCCTCTCATCAGTGCTGCTTTCTTCCGCTGGGGTACCCCTCTCATTGGTTCTTCTACCATGTCAGCCATTACTATTATCTCCCACTGAATGCCAAATTCTTCTATCCTTTTCCTCTTCCTCACCCCTCCCATCATTTGTGTGAGGGATATGTAATGCAAAATAGTGATAGAAAAAAAACCAGGACCTTTGGAATTGTAGCTATACCATTTACGAAGCAGGTCACTTAAACTCTTGCTCCTCAAACTCCACATTTGTGAAATGAGGATAATATTTGTCCATACTAAGGATTGTTGACAGCATGAGATAACGTATAAGAAAGTGCCTGGCACATGATAGGCTTTGACTTTTCTGGTTATTTTCTTCTTTCCCAACCTCTACAGTTTATGAAATATGAGCTTCTCTTTATATGGTCTTGCCCTCCCAAAACTGTTTAAAAATCCCCACATTGTTAGAAGGCATCATTACCTCTATAATTTTCCCTTTTCTCTTCTCACCCTCTCTGCAGGAGATAGGAGTGAAGATGAGGAAGAGTACCTTGAGCAAGAAGATCTGAGTTTTGAGGACCTACACACATCTATTTTGGGAGATCCAGAAATTCACCAGACTCCAGATTGGGAAATAGTCTTTGAGGATGATCCAGGTAGACTTAATGAAAGAAGATTTGGTACAAATATTTCTCAAGTTAATAGTTTAACGAATCTTCGGGAAGCCATGCCTATCCACCCCCTGTTAGGGAGACATCATGACTGTCCTGTATGTGGAAAAAGTTTCACTTGTAACTCCCACCTTGTTAGACACCTGAGAACTCACACAGGAGAGAAACCCTATAAATGTATGGAGTGTGGGAAAAGTTACACACGGAGCTCACATCTTGCCAGGCACCAAAAGGTTCACAAAATGGGCACTCCTTATAAATTTCCCCTAAACCGGAAGAATTTGGATGAGACCTCCCCTCGGGTCCAGGCTGAGAGAACTCCACCTGTTGAGAAACCCTATAGATGTGACGATTGTGGAAAACACTTCCGCTGGACTTCAGACCTTGTCAGGCATCAGAGGACACATACAGGAGAAAAACCCTTCTTCTGTACTATTTGTGGCAAAAGCTTTAGCCAGAAATCTGTGCTAACAACACACCAAAGAATCCACCTTGGAGGCAAACCCTACTTGTGTGGAGAGTGTGGAGAGGACTTCAGTGACCACAGGCGGTATCTGGCACACCGGAAGACACACGCAGCTGAGGAGCTCTATCTCTGTAGCGAGTGTGGGCGGTGCTTCAACCATAGTGCCGCTTTTGCCAAGCACCTAAGAGGACATGCCTCAGTGAGGCCCTGCCGATGCAATGAGTGTGGGAAAAGCTTCAGTCGGAGGGACCACCTCGTCAGGCATCAAAGAACACACACTGGTGAGAAACCGTTCACGTGCCCTACCTGCGGAAAAAGCTTCAGCAGAGGCTATCACTTAATCAGGCATCAGAGGACCCACTCAGAAAAGACCTCCTAGCTAGGTCCCCATGAAGGGAGATCTGCATTCAGCCCTTACCCAAGGGTGGGCCGAGAGAGGCCCTCTTGCCAGCCTGGGAAGACCTTTTCTAGGGAGTCTCCCTGACTTGCCCCAATCTACATAACCTCTTCCCACAACTAAATAAAACCCCCGGGTAGAACCTCTCAATCTTCTACTACACCTTTAGGGAATTTTTTGCCCAAAGTACAACCTGAATTGAGGCTTCTCCTTAATGGGAGTGCTCCTGCCTCTACCTCATGGGTATGAAGTAGGAGAATTAGAAGACTTAAGAGGTTGTGGTTTTTATATGTTCCCAAAAATAGGCTGTTACATATCCTCAAGACTCCTTAACAGCCAAGTTTAAAGTGGCCCGGGACAAACCCTTAGGTTTGGTAAGGGACCAGCCTTTAGGATTTTGTCCTTACCGGGCTCAAATCTTAAAGCACACAGCCCTGAACTCAAGGCAGGAGATTTGCATCCTGATGGCTTTGCCACACATTCACAGGATAAGTGTACAAATCTCTCACTGATTCACTTCTTCACCGTGCACTTTCCTTTGATACTGGGGAGAGATGGGAGAAGTGTTTGATGGGTGGAAACCTCAAGGCTGCTTCACATGGACCTTGTCAGGCTGCTCCCTTCCCCAGTCTCAACATGATACCAGGTGCCAGACACAGCTAGAAAGGAGGACCTAGTCAGAAGCCTGTTTCCTTGTGGGTTTTTTCCTGTTAGAACACTCGTGCCTCCCCTTCCTACTGTCCTACCAGTCTCTTGGTTTTGTCCCTAGCACTTCTGCTGTAAGTGAGGTGTAACATTTGGGTGTTGAGGGATTCAGTAAAGCATAATGAAATCATTTACATTCTCACATATGTACAAGTCCACCTACCGCACCCTGTTCACATGGGTTTGTAAGGGGATTTTGGAACACTGTCGGCTTACAAAGGCACTATACTAATTATAGAATCATGATTGACTGGGTCACTTCATTTACATGAAGAAAACTGGAGAAGATCTGAGATCAAATTATGGAAAAATTAAGAAAAAGCTGTTGCTGCTGGCTAAGGCCATCAAGACTATTCTCCTGACACCCAACCCCCATCATCCCTGCTTCGGTTCTCTGATATCAGGGAAAATTATGAACCCCAGTACCTGGGACCCTGAAGAATTTACCAGGAGTAAATGGCTTTCATGTATTTGCGTTGTTTGCTTTTTCTTATGTGATTTCATTTTCATATACTTAAGAACTAAATAGTAGTATCTTATGGCCCAAGGATCTCTGTTGCCTGATAAAGGTCCCGTGGAGTTGAGGCTGAATAATTATGAACTTCACCTGCTCTGATCATGGGAGTGGCAGGACTGGGGAAACCGTCCTCCATAAATGGAGCACAGGGTATGGGATTAAAGCATGAGAAGGGAGACTGTCTTCTGTGCCTGGTTTCTTCTCTATTTCTCAATCCATTATGTGCCAGTGTACACCAGAGGACTATGGGTGGGATGCCAAGGCCTCAGCGCAACAAGAAAATTCTCATTTTGGTCAGTAATGATATTCCGATTGAATGGTTTGGTTTAATACCAGTCAACCATTGTCCTGGAAATATACACATATGAAATAAAAGTAACGCTGGCAGCCAAGTTCCCTGGTTTCTGGGACTTTCCATTTTACCCATTCACTTTCCAGGGCTTTGGTTCCTGATTCTCCTGAAAAGCATTCATACTCACAAAGGGATCTGGGAGTACAGAGTAGTTTTCCATGAGGCTAGGGAAGGCTTGGCATGGTTAGCAGAGCCACAGGTGGAGTAGATGCACACTGAGGTAAGATCTGAGTCTGGAGTTTGCAGAAGAGACTGTCCTAATATGCAGACATTTCTAAACCATGGATCTGAGGTCTAAGCACAATTTGTCCTGGGTGAAATGTCACAGCCTCAAAAGATAATTTCTCCTAGCTCATACCATTTATGGAAGTTGAAAAATTCTGGAGGTAACAGAACAAACTGACTTTTAAATCACTGATTTATCTGCATTGTTGCATTAAGTGAAAATCTGTCAAGAGAATTCTACGTAAGGTAAAGTTTGAGAGACTGATCTAGTTTGTTGGAGCATCAAATAGTTATTTCATCCCGTGCAGTTTCATATACTGACACTAAATGTCTGGTCTCTTGTAAATTACTGTATTTTCTGAGGTTCTTGGAGGGACATGCTGTCTCTTAAATCTGAACACAAACAGAACCACAGTTTTCAGCAGCTGGGCCAGTACAAGAACCTGGAATGAGCAAGAAGCAGTACAGCTGAACATAGGGAGATTCTGGGGCTCAGATGCCCTTACCATTCAGAAGCGTCCTGTGCAGAATTTGTTAGCAGTTGAATCCCAGTGTTCCTGAATACCACACTAAATAAAAGTTTCTGAGGAAGAAAAAGGTAGGATTTAGAGGAAGATATTATTTGGAGGAAGCTATAAAGTAGACTAAATTAATCGACAGAGAATTGCTAGATTGTTGGAAATGATGAAATGTGCTAATAAAGTTATGAAATTAAAATGGTAATATTAGGGTATTTGACCATTAGTTTAGGAATAACCAAGCAATATTCAGCCTCTAACCCAGAGGTCCAAGAGAAATAAATGGAAAGAGAGAAAGCAAAATATATTTTTATATCTGGAACTTAGGCCTCAAACTCTAGAGCAGAATCTAGTGACCTCAGATGCACCGCATGGAGAATTTTGTTTATTGGGTTGACATCAAAGTACTGGAACCAAAGCAGCCTAAAAAATGTTGCCTCTTTCTCCAAAGCCCAACTCAACTAATGGATCTAATAGAAGATGCATTCTTTCCTTTGAGCAGCAGAATAGTGAACAAGGAAATGCACCACTGATTCCTGCAAAGTTGGCAGGGACCCTTTGCTCCAGTCATCCCTGTTAAGGCTAGGAGCCTCTAGATCACTCCTTTGCATGAGGAAAATGAGATAATATGCCCCCCACCAAAAATCATTTTGATTCACCAGGCTCCCAGGAAGGGCTGCAACACAGATGAGTGTTAATTGGGCCCCATGATGGTTTTATTGAACTAAAGCTGTACTGAGAAATAGTAAATTATAGTATGCTGTGCAGATTAATAATTTGATGCTCTTCCGCACCAATATTTTTTAGTTTTACCTCCCACATCTCCCTCAGCTGACCAAAGTATTTCTTCATCCACAATAGCTCTCCTGAGAGAAATATACATATGTTCTTTTCTCTCGCCTTATATTTCTAGTGATGTTGGCTGAGTGACCCATTAATCTATTTTTTGAGAGAGAAAAAATAAAAATCCCCAAAATGGGTGCCCTATCCATGTACTCACTAACCTTTGTTTTGGCAGAGTATAATGTTCTTAAACTTGAGCACATCTCTTTGGAAGTGGAATAACTTGACTTCTCCTTGGGAAAGTCCTGAGGAGCAGGCAAGGATAAGTCTTGCCCTCTCTTTAGATACCAACCTTTGTAAGTTATCCCTAATAATAAGAAACAAAGAATGGTTGTCAGTGCAACAAAAGTAAGGATATCTCATCATGTGCATTTCCTACTATTTTTCTTGTGTGTGTATGCTCACGGAGGTTTCAGGTAGAAGGAGGAAGATGGAATGCAATTTGAATCCTAAAAAAGGAGTCAATCAGCACAGAATAGATTTATGGTAATCTATAAGGATGGGGATTCTTCGGAGGAGACTGGGTGCTAAAGAACAGAACTGTAGGGATTATATAAAGATTTCCAGAAGCTGCAGTATTAGGTAGCTGAAGCAAGAAGATCCAAGACAAAAGGGTATGAAGAAAAATAACAGTCTTCATTTAAATAGAGTATAAATCTTAGCTTAGTAATGTTCTGTGAGGAATATACCAAGGCTTCAAAAAGACCATTTTACAGGAGGATAATTGAAACTAAATTCTCAGGATTTCCTGTAAGACTATGGCTCTGGCTCTTTTACCTGTGGTTCCTTCATTAGTTGTACATCTTTTCACTTAGAAGACTCCAGGAGACTCCTTGTCAAGTGAAGGTTTCAGGAAGAGGACGACAGCAGTTGTTTGATGCTTTGGTTCATTTACTGAATCTCTGCAAATCTCTACAGAGAAGCAGTTTTAAGGCAAAAGCGCTGTGGTGCAGTTGGAAGAAAACATGCAAAGTCCGGAAACATCAGTACAAAAGCAAAAGACTGGATTAGCAAAGCAACGAAGGAAGATCTCTGTTTTCTTCCTAACCTCTGACAAGATATTCTGAAAGGCCTTCTACTGAAATAAAACTATATTTTGGATAAATTACTAAAATAGAAAACAGAAATAGCATGTAAGTTGGGATAGAGTGGTCAGAATTTAAGTGTTTTAGCGTTCATGAATTGTTCAAGGCAAAAGCTGAAAGATGTTGATTAATTTCAGGCAGTAAGTATGCGCTATTATTAAATTAATACATGAAGTATGCACTGTACTACAGTATCAAAGATACTCATTACAGGAAATAAAATAGAGTAAATAATATCCTAAATAGTGGAGGGAAAACTGGAAATAAGAATTTAAAACAAAAAATTGGGAAGGTAACTCAACTGTCCAAAGAAAGGCAAAAAAATGAGCATAGAGAAGGTGGGAAAAATAGAACTACAAAGATGACAGAAAGCCCAAATGTATGAATAAAATAGAGTAAATAGTGGTTAAATGATAAAGATTGTTAGAGTGAGATAAAAAGTAAATTATAGCAATAGACTATATATCAGAGATACACAAAAATATAAGAATAATGAAAAACTAGTAGTGAAAGAATATGCCAGGAAAATATTAACCTAAAGAAATCTAAGGGAGTTATTTTAATATTGACAAAATTTTTTTATACAAAAAGCATTATGAGAAGTAAGACTTCTACATAATTAAAAATTTAATCCACCAGGAATGTATAACAGGTCTACATTTCTATGTGTCTAATGAAGTTGCTATAGACTATATAATAAAAATTGGTATAATTACATAGAACTGACAAATCCATCATTTTAGTGAACAATTTAAATACACTTCCCCCAGTTATTGATAGATCAAGCAAATGAAAAAACCATGAGGATACATATTTGTACAACTCAATTTAAAAACTATGGGCCATAAAGATCCATGCCTCACAATTATAGAATACATATTCTTCTGAAACAGATAAACATTTAAAATAATTCCGAATGTATAGTGCAATAAAGTAAGTCTCAACGAATATCAAGTGAGTGTTATATAGATGATGTTCTCTGACCACAATATATTTTATTTGAAAATCCACAATGACAAAAATTTTAATATATATTGGGAGAATTTTAAATGTCCATATAAATAACTCTTGCATTAAAGAAGATTTATCAGTAAATGGAAATTTACTAATACTTAGAACTAAAATGAAATGTAAATATTGTATATCAATACCTTTGTGATGCAGGGAAAATAGTACTTAGAGGGTTACAAGAGAGGAAAAACTAAAAAATTAATGAGCTAAATGAGCAACTTACAAATTTTTTAAATAACAGAATAAACTAAAAAAATATAGAAAGTCGATAACTGCAGAAAGTAATGACAAAATAAAGTTAAAAACCTAGTTCTTTGAAAAGATTACTAAAACCTCTGGCAATATTAAGAGATGGAGATAACAGAAATACAGTAAATAATGAGCTACAGAAAGGTCAATATGTAGATAAATATCAATACCGATTGAAACAAAACTAATGTCCTATGAAATTAAAATGCATGTCGATAACACATAGGATGGAGAGTAGGTAGAGTTAAAATGTTCTAAGGTTCTGGCATTATTGGGAAAGAGGTGAAGTACTATGCTTTTTAGACAGTGATAAGGATATATGTTGCGATCACCGGGGTAATGACTAAAAGAATAGTAAAAGAATGTATAACTGACAATAGAGGGAAAATAATGAAGTTGTAAAAAAGTAATGCAAATAGGGGCCGGCCCCATGGCCTAGTGGTTAAGTTTGTCGCACTCCGCTTTGGCGGCCTGGGTTCAGTTCCCGAGCATGGACCTACACCATTTGTCAGCAGCCATGCTGTGGCAGCCAGCTACACACAAAATAGAGGAAGATTGGCACAAATGTTAGCTCAGGGCAAATCTTCCTCAGCAAAAAAAAAAAAAAAAAAAAGCAAAAAAAGCAAATGAAGGCAAGAAAAGAGAAACAGGAATATAAAACAGGTGAGTCAAGTAGATAACAAATAGTATGATGGTAGCTAAAAAAACCCAAATATATAAATAATTACATTAAATGTGAATGGATTAAATACCCCAATTAAAGACCAAGCTGACATTATACACACACACACACACGGGTGTGCGCAGGAGGCATATCTTAAAGAACACAGGAAGGTTAAACATAAAAGTCCCTCTTCAAAACGAATTGTCCCTGGAGAATAGATATAGCCAAGAAGGGAACAGGAAATTTATCACAGTACTAGAGGCAGAGAGAAGAACACACCATGAGAAGAACTGTCCTGAGCCTAAGAAAAGAAGCAAATTTGAGGGAAAGAAATGGGATGGGGGTGGGGAGGAATAGAATGAACATGGAACCACCTGCTATTTTTTAGTTTGTGATCGCTTCAGTTACCACTCATTTGTTGAGTATAGTCTGATCATTGC